CCAGGGGGAGGTGATGGCGCCCCTCAAGAAGGAGCCGAGCGACGCGGAGAGGCTCGCGCTGGACGACGCCATGACCGTCACCGTGCAGGGGGTCGCCGCCGGCATGCAAAACCCCGGTTAGGCTGCGCTGCTGGGGAGGTCCAAGGCTGAAGGGTTCGACCTATCTCCCGGCAGGCGCTGCTTCTTCCGCCACCTCCCAGTGCCGTGGGGGTCGCAGCCTTAGGCCGTTCGGCGTTGGGGGGGGGGGGGGGCGGAGCGGACGTGTTCCTAATGAGGGGGAGCGCGGCTCTTCCGTTGTACTCTATGCCAAGTCCTTAGTGTGTCTTACTTGGCGACGTCGCGCCGCTCTCTGTGTTTACATTTTTTGCGCATGCGCCTCTCTCTATACGAGTAGTTGACAAGGTACGAAAGAAATTAAACACACGTGTGTCTCTATTTTTTCAACGATTTAACACTACTTTTGAGTGTGTTTGGCCAATTTTTCAGTTTGGACGAGAAAACCCAGACGGCATCTCAACACACAACAGAAAATATGGTTGAGGCTACCAAATCCCCCGGACTCCTCTCGCTCTCCCTCACTAGGTCTGAGCGGCCTGTCCGCTCTCGCGCTCGCCAGATCGCCCAGCCGCCCTCTTCTAGACTCTCACGCGGCGTGCGTGGCCGTACGAGGCTCCCGGTACGGTACCTACTAACCCAGCCTCTAAGAACCCAACGCCCACGCCTCGACCATCTTATGGGCAGCAGCTGGTTGGATAGCTCCTCTCCGTGGCCTAGGCAGCCGCACTCACCCTCGCCCCAGGTAAAGACGGCTCCGTTGGCAGTGATGGCGAGACCGTCGCACGCCCCAGCCGCGACACCGCGAGCACGACGACGCGCTGGCCAGCAAAGGCCTCGATCTTCTTGGGCAGCAGCTGGCTCTGCTCGTCGCCGTGTCCCAAGCCGCCCCCGCCTCCAAGGCCCCAGCTCCAGGCGGCGCCGTCGGCAGTGATGGCGAGGCTGTGTGACTCTCGAGTGACAGGGGACTAGAGCTTGCCCTTCTTACTTGCACCTTCATTATTACTGTGGTAAGAACACCAGTGTTCTCTCCAGCCTCCCCCGGGCCTGTATATACCGGTCTAACGCGTGCACAACACCTGGCTGGGGGCGCGAGAGCGGCAGCGTCACCAGCTGTGTATGGTTTACGAGTGGTTGGCAAAGTAAGCATGCAGATCGGACACTATTGCCTGTTGCTGGGCGCCAGAAAGCTCCGGAATGGCTGATCCCCACCTTGCGTACAACGACCAAATGTGAGGTCATAACCATAACCCCGCGGTGGGTGTGCATCTCCGTAGCTCCGAATCGTACCAAGGATCTTAAATCTACTTTTGGGGTTAAAGTCCACGCCGCTCCTTGGAACGAAATTGATGCTACTGGCAGGAAAAGGTCGTAGGCATGGTAGGAAGCATCCGAGGCGCTGTAGGGTCGATTCTGGGTACCAGAGCAGGTCTGCGTAGCTGATGACCAGGGTGGATGCACCATACCGATTGAGGGCAAGATGTGTTTGTTTCAGGTCCGTGAGCCCCCTTACCTCGTCTCTCCAATTGAGCACAGAGCGATTCACACCTCCTCATCAAGCTGCCGTCCATAGTAGCAAATAAGCGGGCCCCAATCGCTGCACACCACCACGTAGCATGGCGCCTGTCATCGGTGCCCTGGCAATGCCATTGATGTAGCTGGCGATGCCAGGATGCCACATCTTGGTCACGAGCACTGGCTGGCGCAAGTCCCATACCTCAGCAAACGTCTTGAGCATAGCGGTGTAATTGCGTGCTATCATGGGGGGGAGTATTGTCAACATGGTTGAATGCATAATCATACCATTTTCCATCCACGCTTTGCTTCCGGGTCGCTGCTGTTACGGAGAAGCTTGTCGCCCTCGCATTGCCAGCTCTCAGAGGCGCACAATGTGCTGATATTTGGGTGGCTCATCAAGAGCGTCTGCATAGCAGTAGAGCCGTGAAACCACAACCCAAGCACGCTCAAAAATATGTGCGTGCCGGCAGAGAGCTCACGGCCGCATGCACGTTGTGGGTGCTTTTTCGAGGAAGCCTTGGCACACGTCCATGAGCGCACCTGTCAAAGTGATCGCGTGAAGGCCGCGACGTGAGCGATGAGGGGGCTGTCGCAGCGGTAACGACGCTCACGAGGAGGTCCGTGGGGACGTCGAGAAGGCGGGCGGGCGGCGGCGTGTCTGGCGAGGGAGCGGTGGCGGTGCCCGGAGCAAGGTTCGGTCCGAGAAAAAAGAAAAGGCGCCGCGATTCGACCGAGGTCGTTCATATACGCTCCGGTAGTGTAGTTCTTAAAAATCTCTCTCTCTCTCCTGTGGACCACCCTCAAAGCCAATCCTCTCGATCGTCATCGCCCACCCACCCACCTCCTCATCAGGAAACTTAACTCCTCAGCGATCACCTTATTATCCGCAGCCTGCCAGCCTCCTGCCAGGCTGCTGCTTCTGCTCTGGCTTCCGGAGATTTTTGAAAACGAACCAGAAATCATTACGGCCTTCACTCTCTCTCTCTCTCTCTCTCTCTCTCTATACATCTACATCTCTTCTCTCTCACTCACAGTGATTGCCTGTTTGCCTGCCCGGTCGAGCGCTTGACCGCTTGTTGCTGAGAAAAGGGAGGAAGCCTATCAGCCTCGACGCCCACAGCTTCGAGCTCCACGCAGCGACCAGCGCCGGTGTGAGTCCAGTGGACTGCCCACGCGAGGGGTCCAACCAAGGGTCGTGTTTCATCCTGGAAGGCAATTCACCAATTCTACATCCAATTCTACCCGCTCTCGCCACCGTATCGCGTCGAGCTCTGCCTCGGGGTTGGGCCACGTGCGTCCCCGCCACGAACCGCCTACTTTAGTTAGGATTCTTTCATGGTCCGAGGAGGCGCGACAGCCTATTTCGACTTGCTCATTTGGCCACTTGATTCGTTGCGTGGTGTGTTGTTTGAGCAAGGGTAAACTGCGGGCCCACATCCAAAGACGAGAGAGGCAGGTGACGATCAGTTCTGCTGGCCCCCGGCCCCCGGCGCGGCGCCCCGCCCCGCCGCGCGCCCGCCGCGGGACCTAGCCGCCCCGCCCGCCCCGCGCGGGCTCGCCCGCCCCCGCCCCCGACCCCCGCGCGCCCCCTCCTCCCCCCTTCCGCCACGGCGCCGCCGCCACAGCGTCAACGCACTCGCCCCCGCCCGCCGCGGCCGGCTGGTGCAAGAGTGACACGCGCCCCCGCGGCCGCGCTCGCCCCCGTCGTCGCGGCGAGCGGCGGGGAGCCCCCCTTCCGCGCGAGGTCAACCGCGCGCGCCTCCCAACAACAGGTGTGTGCGCGAGACACGCGCGACAGCTCTTCGGGATGAACGGGCAGGACTACGGCTCGGGGCTGCTCGACCAGGCGGGGTCCCAGTACCTCGATCAGATGGGCCAGCCCGGCGGAGTCATGCCCTCAATGGGCGGCCGCGGCCCGGGGATGCCGGGGCAACAACAGATGTCGGCGGCGCAGCAGCAACAGATGCAGCAGATGCAACAGCAGCAGGCGCAGCAGCAAGCGGCGCAGCAGCAGCAGATGCAGCAGCAGCAGCAGCAGCAGCAGCAGCAGCAGCAGGCGCAGCAGCAGGCGGCGGCGCAGCAGCAGCAGCAGCAGCAGCAGCAGCAGCAGCAGCAGCAGGGCGGGGGCATGCCCGGCCAGCAGCCCGGCCAGCAGCCGATGCAGCTGATGCTCGTCAATGTGCCTCCCAACGTGCACGCGGGGGAGCAGATGGTGGTGATGACGCCGACGGGGCAGCAGTACATGGTTGTGGTTCCGCAGGGCGCCGGCCCCAACTCGCAGTTCCAGATTGCGGTGCCGCGCCCGCCCGAGCCATCCATGATGCAGTACGGGCAGCCCGGCGCGATGCCGCCTGGATACGGCGGTGCGCGCTCCCTCCCTTCCCGGCCGGGGCTCACGCCCCCGGCGCCTGCCCCCTCGTCACCTGCC